ATTTTCTTTTCATTTATGCTTCACCTACCTCGTAATCTATTTAATTATCGTGTATATTTTCATAGGCATTGGTTACCTTTAGCCGCTTTATTATTTCCTTTTAAGGATGGGATCACATTAAGTTGTGTACTACTATTCTTTATTCACATTTAAGCAGTAAATTATATACTTTCTCTAAATTTTTCTATATAAATGACGTATTATGATTGCTAATAAATCGATCACGCTTTTCCACTTATGTCTAAAGTTGTGGACCACTATTCTTTATTCAACTATACATCTATTTATTATTACCCTTTCAAGGAAGGATAATATTGAATTTAAATGCTTCTTTCTTTTTTACCAGACATTATTTCGCTTATAATATTCCATCATTAGTTCCCTCTAAATGTGGGATTAAAATAAGTTTTGTGAGCATACTGTTTATTATTATATATTAGGATTATGCTCTAGCTGAGTGCTTTCTCTCCTTGGTAAATATTTTTGTATTGTTTATCCTCCTTTTGCATATCCTTTGAAATAAGAGATTACATTACTTTTTGTGATAATATTATTATTATTATTATTATTTTATTTTATTTTCTTCTGAAGGAGAGGCTTTATCAAGTTGAATGCTTCTCCTCATTTAAATATAAAAAAATATTATTTGCATTTTTTTATTATTTTCCGCTAATGTTGGAATTACACTGGTTAGTATAATAGTTTTTTCAATTCCAGCGTTGTCCTTTTCTAAATAACTGACACTGACTAGTTCGGTTTTATGCTCTTTTTATCAGAATAAATGAATCACTTATATACTACTCCATTATTTGTACTGAGGTTCTATGCATTGTTTGTCCATTACTATGTTTAATGATAGTGTATCTTATAATTAATACAAAGGCATCGGCTGTCGCCAGTTACTCGACTGTGATTTCTTGCCCGGTGGGGCAGAGCATCTGAGACGCCGGCTTCCCGATGGCTTTCAGGTCGACCTCGAGTCCACTGAGGCTGTCTACCGTCTTGCCAAACAGAAAGTCGAGTCCACCGACACCGGCGAGTACGACTGCCGGTTCAGGTCCGAGCCCACTGGCGGTGATGGCAATAATTCTGGAAAGTGTATCGTTCGGCGTCTGTTTGTGAGGCCCGATACTGACGTCGCTCTGTATGTATCACAAAACTCTCGCCTAACCTACGTTCAGGTGTCTCAACAGTCGTGGCCGTTGGTCTATGAGGGTCATGGATTTCTACTCACTCATCTCGACAATGTCATCATCTACTGCTCCGGATCACATCCCCACGAGGCGTACTCCTTTACACTGACAGCTAGTTGGGCTGAGTGTTCTGCCTCCGGTCAACAGATACAGACACATTGGCTTCACTCGCGTCGTCTTGTTCTTGGCCCCAGACGCCTTCATGCGTCAATTCAACTCATCCTTGTCGAGTTTCCGCCCCTTCCGAGACTCACAGATCTCGCAGGTCACTTTGTTTGTGTCAATTGCAGCCTCGACGAGTCGACGACGACGACGGCGACAGCGATCGAGAGACTGGAACCGGATTCGAACGCAGCCGAGAAATATCATGGCCTCAGTTACCAGCTCCGTTTACCGGTGATCGACTGGTCCAAGCGCCGATTACGGGTCGAGCCCGTCAAAGGACGAGACGGTCGAGTTGAGGCTGTTCAACCTGGCGGCAGACTGCGCTGTACGGCTCGACTGGGGCCTAGTAACTGGCCGCCCGTCTCAACGGTCTGGGAACGATTGCAACCAGAGCTTGGAGACGATATGTCGCCGGATGAGTTGTTGATCAACAAGGAATTCAACTTCTCGGCTCTTGTACCAGAGGCACCCGGGCCACTGGAGGTGTCTTTGGACGCCTCAGAACTGGTGGTGCCGACTAACGAGGCCTTTCGTGGATACAGTTTTCTTTACCGTTGCCGATTAGTTGTGCCATTTTCGATATCGTTGGACGGTACGGAAGATGAGATACCTGCGGTCAAGGCACATCTCACGGTCGCCATGTGCCGCAGTGCTCGAGTGAATCTGCTTCTGCAAAACGGCATTTGCTGGAACACTGTCTACGAGGGTTATTTTGCTCGTTTTGTTGCCGCTTTCATGCGTCGTCTCATCCTAAGCTTGCCTGACTACCAAAAGACGGCTCGTGTTGGCCTCTTTATCGGTGCACCGGAATCGTTGATCAGCATTGAGGAGACAGCCTCGCATCGGATGCAACTTCGAACTCCGTTGTTGGTGAATCACAAAATAAGCCGAAATGAATTGGTGACTCGCATTTTTCGCACATCGGACTATGCCAATTGTGCTGGCTCGAGGTTGTATCAGATGAAAGCGGATCAACTAGACCGACTGGCTGAGTCGGTATCCACAAATAACAATTCAGCCGGCAGGACTATTGTTATCCTCTTCAGCCAAGGCGATGAAGAACAGCATGAGGTATTGCTCAGGAAGTCGAAGAGCCTACGAAATCGCGGGTTTCGGGTGCGTAAATTAATTGACCTTTCGAGACACACATCATAAGACTATCAGTTTTCTTAGCTGCCCCTTGTCGGCATATCTGCTTCTCCTCAGCAAAGAAGCTGTTTAGTCTAACTCACAATGAATGCACTCAGCTAATTTGCTATGATGTTCTGTCACACAAACTGATCAGAAAAAGGAGGCTGGTGTCCCACGATAATTAGATGTGTAGCTCGGACAAAGTGTAAAACAAAGTGGCGCTGAGTTGAGTCATAATTTCTGTAAGAGTGTAAGGGATCGAAGGGAAGATAGAAGCGTAAAAGATCAGAAAACTTCATTTGATAGGAGGCTTTTACCATGTCCAGAAGTCCAATCCCTCCTCATTCCTGTCTAATAAATTCTTTGTTTGTTATATTTGTGTGTATATTTGCATCAGCATCTGATTGGTTTGTGAATGAGAATCTGGTTTTTACGAGATCATTAATGTAGATCCAATAAGGAAACACATTTGCTTAAGTCATAGTGAATGGTCATTCTAAAGACCGAATGAGATAGTCTTTAAAAAGTCTGGTTATCTATTAACCGATTGTGTGTCTACGTGAACGTATAATATCTGATTGACTTCTGGATGATAGTCCGGCCTAACGAGATCATTTATGTAGATCCAATGGGAAAACTCGTTTACTCAAGTTGCAGTGAATGAGTCATGCGAAAAGCCGGATGGGATAGTCTGTAACGAGGTTTGCGCTAGTTACTAGCCTATTTTGTCGGTGCACATGTGTGTGTATAACGTCTGAATGGCTCCTGTATGATATGACTTGATTTGATTATTCAGGTAGATCCTATGAAAAGACTCATTATAATAAGTCATGTCAAATTCGGCCTCTTGTAAAATAAGAGCATGTTGTGAACTGATGCGATATGCTGAATGAGGCTCAAATAAGTACTCTTCTATTCTCTGTTTGTTTGTGAAAGCATAAAACTGATTGGCTATAGGATGTCAGAATGGCTTAATACGACCATTCAGGTAGATTGAATGGGAAAATTTGTTGTCTCAAGTCACAGTGAATGAGTAATGCCTAAAGCCGGATGAGATATCTTGTACCGAGGCTCTATTTAATTTACTAACTATTGGGCATATTTGTGTGCACATACCCTGTCTAAATGACGTTTTGTTGAATTTCTGGATTGACTTGATAAGAAGGGTACATCTATTGAAACAGCAGGTTCGTTCAAGCAACAGTAAATGAATCATGATGCAAATGGTCTTTTTATTATGATAAAAGAAATTATCCTGAGCTGAATGCAATGTCTTTTGACTTCTTTGAGTGTACGTGTGCACATGTCGATATCAAAATCTGTATCCTTTTTGATTCTGAACCGGCTGGCACATAACCGTGCGAAGGAAGGCCAGGACTATTTACTTTGTCCAATTGTTCTGGGGTGCACTCAACTGGCGGAAACTTCTTCAAAGTGACTTCCTCAATCTGTGCTGCCAAATATTCTGTTGAAGCATCAGACCAATGAGTTAGTTAACTAGTACCCCCTAGGCTCGAAGAAAAATAAGATTTATTTGGTAATGAAGTAAGCTGTACTATCCTATCCCCACACTTTTCCCATTAAATGTTTAGTTTATGTTACAATCCATACATAGCCATGGTTCAACATCCTTTGGCACAGAGATTGCATAAATGTGTGACTAATCTTGACTCTTTATTTCGCGTCGCCCAATCAAATCTTGACATCACATCATCCAATCAGAAGTTGATATGGAAAACTACGCATGGATGTATCAAGTAGCTAACATTCTGTTTAAATGGGTCACGTTCTTTTCTTTCACTTTCCCAGCTCCGCCGTGGCCCGCAGGGTTTAGAATGTTTTATTTGGCGCCATCTTTTAATAATTGTCTTTGTTTTGTCAGTTCCCCCATACTGTATGCGGTCATTTCAAAATAGGACAATTGGCAATACTATTTGTTCCTTTTCTCTCTTCATTTCGGGGCCCCATCTTTGTAGTTGTAGAGGACAAGTGTTTTATATTTTAGAGACAAACCACATCCTTCTTAAGAAGACAAAAAAAGTAAATTTTTGTGAAAATTTGAGGAGACTGATATTCTCTAATCCTTAAACACTGTGTTGTAAACCAGACTGGAGAAAGAAGACCACATATAACAAATAGTTTATAAAAAAACTAAATAATGTAGTAAGGAGAGCTGCGAATAAGGCCAGCGAATAGAACGAAAAGATCATCATCGTGCAAAAAGCTGATGCTATCCTCAAAATTTGCCTTGGTTCAAAGTTTTCAAACTTTGTGTGTGTATACCATTTTTTAATTGGTTCTTGTTGGATGCTCTGGCTTGACGTGATTGGTCAGTCAGCTCGTGTGCGTGTGGCGAGAAAACGATTGGTCGGTCAGTTAGTGCTTGCCACAATAAGACAGGCTTGCAAGTATTCTAGGCGTGATAAAAAAAATTTGTGGAAGCTATGTGCAGTGTCGAGTAAAAAAGTTATCCGTTAAATTAGTTTTTTAAAAACGTTAGCGAATACAACTTTTTATCGGTTTGAATCGGGTTGCAACAAAATAATTATTTTCGTATTAGAGCAGAGTTTCGAGACTACCAGTAAATCAGTAATATGAGATCTATTCAATCTATTCCGTCTAAGGTGATGAAGAACTGGTAGTAGAATTTTTCCACAATGATATGAGTTAAGATGACGGTTTCATTAAAAT